TCCAAAAAACTGCCGCACTGCACAGGTCTAAGCAGGTAACTTCAAACTTTATTGTAGTCCAAGAAAAGTACATACACCACAAACAAGCTCCCCAGACCAGGCGAACTCAACCTGCACTTGCAAGTCCTGCACAGCAGACACATAGCTGAAGAATTGAAACAGTGAGATGTCTCATTGATTTATAGATCAGAGATCTGTTTTCTCTCTGATCGTGCCAGATCGGGGGTAATCTGATGTAAACAGACACATGTCCATTTACATCCGATTCCTCATAAGTAGACATGGGTCTGATAATTGAATTTTTTTCTCCATCTTGCAATGGAGGAAAAAACTGTAAGGACATGGATGTCAGAGTGGTGACATCTGCTCCGTACTGCTGTGATCAGGAGAGGATCTGTGCACAGATCGTCTCCTCACTGGCCCATTCACACAGGCTTTTAGGGCCAACATGTGGCAGGAATCAGCATACTCCTGCGGCTAGGATCACAGGTGGTTAGGGACAGATGAGCAATCCTAGATGCAAACTGTCTGCATTCAGGGTCACTCATCTGCCCCTAAACACATGTGCCCACTGGATGTGTAGATACATGCAAACAGCCACGAACAGCTGCAACAGTCCATAACAACCTGTGATCCCAGCAACAGGAATACACTGATTCTTGCTCCATGTTGGTCCCAATAGCTTGTTTGAATGAGGCCTAAAGGCTGGTTCTGACTGAATTCAGGAATTTGGAACTGTAGCATAGTAAATGAGGTGAATTAGTGTTCACTTTGACTACTCAAACATGTGCCATAAAAAAAATGGATTTTTTTTCTCCAGCATATGATTAGAGAATTGCAAGAACACAGCTTCATCTTTTTACTAAGCTCAGTGAACATTCACTTTGTTAATGTGTTTACAAACCCTTTCAATAAGCTTCTCTTTTTTGCTCCCTTTTGGTCTATAAACTATACCATTAAAAGTGTTTTGCTATATTTGTTCCATAAGTGCAAAAAACACCTGTTCATCATGTCAGAAATTCAGAGCTGTCCTTTATCCTCTGAGCACTTCCTGTGCTATGTCAAGGAGTCCTCCCAGTTCTTATGTTGGGCTACAAAACAATTTGTCCCTATGTGGAGTTGCAGAGGATGTGAGGGATTTAGCAGTTCAACCTTAACCAATTAGGCAAGGATGACACCAAATCTTGCAATTTCAGTCCACAAAAAGGCATGTGGTGTCATGCTACAAGAACAAATTAGGAGATGGGTACATTTAGTTAGTTCAACCGGTATTGTTCTGCCCTCGCATGTTTTTTTTATCTTGCCCTGACATACACTTTAAGTGAAAAGTTTCCTTTTGTAAATCAACCCCTAACATTAAATAAAATGGTCAAATTCTCACATGTGGTTAGCATGCACTATGGGAACTGCTTAGATGTTAATGCAGTGCTGTTAGGTGGGGAGTAATGGCAGCTCTTGCCATAATGTGGATACTGCATTGGTATGTACAGTATATGTATATTATGGCAGGGCTTCTTTCAGTTTGCCATCCTCCAGCACTGAAAGCTCCAGGCTCTTCTTTGCCTTTCTGTTATTGCTGTCATATTCTCCTTTACTTCTTCTGCATCTGACGTTGGGTGGCCATTGATGATGTAACTTGTGCTCTATCCCACTGGAGTTACATTATCTTACAAAAGCAAAATTGGACGGACACTGTACACAAAATATAATTGTGGTAGGATAATGGGAGAGTTTTTTCATCATAGGAGACCTACAAAATCTCTTCCAGCAACAAGCACTATATCCCAGCAATGTTTTCCTTACTTTAGTTCCATTTTACTGAGCTCTGAAAGAACATTGCTTTTTATTCTGTTGTGAACTCCCTTTTTTGTTCATCTGTATAAAGAAGGATCTCTTTACCCTAACTGACTCTTTGAAACACTGCTGGCCTAATAAACCTTTACTACTGTAAATGCCCCCCCAGGAAATCAGAAAAATCTGAAAATTATATTAATTATTTTGAAAAAGGATCATCCTAGCAATAATTATTATAATTATTATTAAACAGGATTTATATAATGTCAACAGTTTGTGTAGCACTTTACAATATAAGGAAGACATTACAGTTACAATACAATTCAAGACAAGATGGTAAGGAGGGTCCTGCCCGTGAGACCTTGCATTTTAATTTTATTGTCAATGTTTTAACAGAGCTCAGCCTGTCTTTATCAAGATAAAGATGGGCTGAGCTCTGTCAAGATGTTGACAATAGACCTACTTTAGATTTATATATAGCATGGGGTCTCCTTCTGCTGTGTGTTTCTCACACTTGTGAGCGGAATACCTTTACAACACAATAATAATTCTATATCGCACAAACCAGGAACATTTCAGAATTTGTTGGGAAATCTAATGAGTTCCTTTTTTTGTTGCAGTGGGTTATGTCTGGTATACAGTATGAATATCAGAATATCAGAATATCAGA